TTAAAAAGTTTAGTAAAATCAAATTATTGTATACAGATACGGATAGTTTAATATATCATATATTTACAAATGATTTTTACACTGATATAAAACCTGACCTTTCATCATACTTTGATACCTCAGATTATGATACAAATAATATTTTTGAATATCCAAAATTAAATAAAAAGAAATTAGGTTTTTTTAAAGATGAAAATAATGGTAAAATCATGAAAGAATTTGTGGGTTTACGATCCAAAATGTACGCTTTTAACTTAGAGAATAAGACTATAGCCAAGGCAAAAGGGGTAAATAAATGTATCACTAAAAAGATGACAATGAATAGTTATAAGTCTTCTCTATTTAATAAAAAAGTGCAATATTATAGTATGTTTAGATTTAAATCAATTAAACACACAATTTTCACACAAAAATTAAATAAGATAGGTTTATCATATAATGACACAAAGAGACATATTTTAGATAATAATATTGAAACATTAGCTTGGGGTCATTATAAACTGCGTTAAGTGTTGATAGTTTTTACTTTTATGTCTGCGTTTAAGAAAAATTTATATTGATTGTAAAATTATGATAATACTATAATATGACGTAGTTTATTAGGTACATATTTAATCATTGTTTTATTGTAAATAATTTAAGTTAATTGTTGTTTCTATTTATTTGAGGTTGAGTTAATTGTAAAATTATGATGTACTAATTGTTGTTTCTATTTATTTGAGGTTGAGTTAATTGTAAAATTATGATGTACTAATTGTGTTAGAAATAGTGTATACAGATAATTCTGTTTTATATAATTTTTGGAATATATATTAATTGTTTACACCAACACTTTCATTTTTTATTTCACCCCTTTGAACTTTAGACGTGTGTTATGTTTCACTTTATCCATCCGTTCACTGCTATTGTGGCAGGACCAAGTGGGTGTGGGAAGTCAAATTTTGTAACAAATTTCATAAAATCAGTTACAGAAATATGTAATTGTGATTTTAATCAGATCACATGGTGCTTTGATGAAATGCAACCATTATATAATTTACCAAATGTTAACTATCATCAAGGAATTCCAAATCTTAATATGTTTGATGGTGAAAACCCACATCTTGTTATTATTGATGATCTAATGAGAGAGTCCGATGGAAGAATTGTGGATATATTTACAAAAGGTAGTCATCACAGGAATCTTAGTGTATTTTATCTAACACAAAATTTATTTCATCAGGGTAAAGGACAAAGAGACATATCTTTAAACTCAAGTTATATAATATATTTTAAAAACCCTCGAGATAAAACTCAAATAAGATATTTAGCAAGACAAGTATCACCAGATAACCCAAAATTCATTGAAAATGCCTACAGGGATGCAACTCTAGAGGCGCATGGATATTTAATGGTAGATTTAAAACAGAATACCAATGATTTTTGTCGTATCAAGACAAATGTCTTTCCATTTAATGGTTTCTGTACAGTCTACGTCCCCACAAAAGAGTTTAAATACACCAAGAATCAAACAATTGAAATCATTGCTAAATGATGCATCGTCGACTCACAACGTATAAACATTTGCTAACCGCTTTGCATACGCTTAAACCAAAATATCAAAGAGCATTACTTAAAACGTGTGATGAAGAAGAAATTAACTGTATTTGTGAGTGTATTCATAACGTTTTACAAGGAAAAGTACCTCTTAAAGATCAGGATAAACAAAAATTGAATAAACATAAAAACCTACTCCGTAAACTAGTACGTAAGTGTAAACATAAACTAAGAAAAAATATAATTATACAAAAAGGAGGGGCTTTCTTACCAACAATATTAGGTGCAATATTGAGTGGATTAGTGAGTGGACTAGCCAGTTAACATGGAAAATGCAAAGAAAATGATACTTATCGAACCTGGATTGATTGAAAAATTAAAACAAGAAAATAAGGTTAATAGTAATTTATCTCGATTAGATATTGAAATGCAAAATATTATGAATAGTAAGACGGAAGACCGAAAGAAATGGATATTATATTTACAAACACTGCAAAGATACCTTCATTTTACCGAAGAGGATCGTCAACCACTCAAATTACCAATTTATTCTGATACATCTAATGAAGATTCAAATGAGTCAAAAATTGGTTTTAAAAATAAAGATAGAGATGTTAAAACTTCAGTTGATATTGAATCTTTGCTAGAGGAGAATCGATCCATTAAAAGTAAAGAAAATGATGAAAATCCACTTTACACACCAGCTCAAATACTCAGTTTAATACCAAAAACTTATCATAAAAAAGGGCAGTTATTATTAAACTTAGTTGAAACAAGTAAAAGTAAATTACATTGGGATAATGAAGGTACAGTCATAATTGATAGTGAAAAAATTCCTGGAAGTAATATTGTTGATTTAATAAATGATTCACTAAGACCCCTAAAAAGAAGTGATCCGGTAGGGTGGGTTAGATTTGCTGAAGCATTAAAAGATATTAAAGTACCACTTACTTATATTGGAAATCCAAGGAGATGTGAGTTTATTAACCAACTTCAAGCAAAAGATCTGAACAAACCCTCTGAGATTGAAGTTCAAGAGTTTTCTACACCGGTCAGTAGAGATAAAAAGTCTACAACTAAAATACGTAAAGGACTTGAGTGGGGAAAATGGACCCCGTACTAGAAGAAATTAACAGGATTTATTATGATCCATCTAATCCCGCTGGTTTTGGTAGTATTGATAAATTATCAAAAGCCATGAAGGGTAAAATGAATAAAAAGCAAGTAAAGGAATGGTTAAAATCACAAGAAACATACACATTACATAAACCCATTCGAAAAAAATTCCCGCGTAATAGGTACATTCTATCAAATATTAATGAACTGTGGCAAGCTGATTTAAGTGATATGCGAACTTATTCTCAATATAATGATGGTTTCAAGTATATACTTTGTATTATTGATGTATTTAGTAAATATGCTTTTGCAAGACCAATGAAAAAGAAAAACTCAGAAACAACTAAAGAATGTTTTGAAAGTATATTTACTGAAAGTAATTTAGCACCTACTCACATACAATCCGATAAAGGTACAGAATTTGTTTCAAAAGATGTACAAAAATACTTTAAATCCAAAAAGATTAATTACTATACCACTAACAATCCTGACATTAAGGCTAGTATTGTTGAACGATTTCAAAGAACACTAAAAATGAAAATGTGGCGTTATTTCACTCATAATAATACTTATAGATATATAGATGTTTTACAAGATTTAATATACTCTTATAATCACAGCTTTCACTCTAGTATTAAGATGTGCCCATGTGATGTAAATTCCAACAATATTATGACAGTTTGGACTAATCTTTATGATAGACGGTCAAAAAAACTTTCTTTAGAAAATCCTAAACCAAATTTCAATGTGGGTGATTATGTTCGAATAACTAAATATAAACATGTATTCCAAAAAGGATATGAATCAAATTGGAGTGATGAAATATTTATTATATCTTCAATAATTGATAGATCTCCATGGGTTGTTTATACAATAACAGATTTACAAAATGAACCAATAATTGGTACTTTTTATGAAAGAGAATTACAGAAAATCACTTACAACCCCACCTCACAACATAAAATAGATAAAATAATTGACACTCGTTATTCAGGTAACAGAAAAGAAGTATTAGTGAAGTGGAAAGGTTATCCAGATAAATTTAACACTTGGATTTTAGCTTCTAGTTTAAAAGAAATATGAATAAAGAAAGTTTCTATTTAACTTTGCTCAGCAATAGTTCAATGGAATACTTTCCTGATAACAAGACCACAAATTTTTCAACGAAATTACCAAAAGCTATAAAATTAGAAGGTGAATGGTCGGTTGGAGTTGTCGAGTTTCAATATCCATGTACCATGTTTACTGTTCAAGACCATGAAAATGTTATACTTAGCATTTTCATGGTCTTGAACTGTAATGTAGATTTCGTAATATACATTACAAAATCTATGTTAATGCCTAATGAAGATAAACCATCCACAGTGTACTACAAAAAACATATTCCAGCTACCAACTATGATAACGTTGAGCATATTTTAAGAGTGTTAAATGGTATCGGAGAGAACTTGAAATTTCGCTATGATGAAATAACAAAATTTGTGTCTATTTCGGTATTGGATAAAAATATAACATCCGTAACATTATCACCCAAATTAAGTTTACAGCTAGGTTATGAACCAAATAAAAATCTCCTAGAGAGAAATTTTGGAAAGTGTCCTGCTAATTTACACTTAGGGTTACCATCTCAACTATTTCTATATTGCGACATTATCGATCCTCAGATTGTGGGTGATGTTATGACTCCTTTATTAAGAGTCATTTCATTAGATCCTACAAAATACATTTATGGTGCAAATAAAATGCACGTTTTCTCTCAACCTCACTACTTACCTGTTATGCGAAGAGAGTTCGATACGTTGGAAATAGTTATAAGATCGAGTACAGGACAAAAAATACCATTCCAGTTTGGAACCGTGTGTATTAAACTACATTTCCGAAAATTATATGAATTCTCTTCGTGATCATCATAAATGTCCATATGAAAATTATTATACACATCAAGCTGGATCAGGAGTTGGAGTAATTTATAAGGGTTCACCATATCAACGCGGTCATGGTATTGGGAGCTTCTTAGGGGGGTTATTCAGATCAGTTTTACCTTTACTTTCAAGTGGTGCTCGAGTGATTGGTAAGGAGGCATTAAGCGCTGGAGTAGGACTTTTATCGGATATGGTTCAAGCCCGTCCTATGGAAGCCTCAATAAAAGACCGTCTAAAGCAAGTTAGTACGAATTTAAAACGAAAGGCTGATGAGAAAATTGATCAATTTAACATGACTGGATCTGGGTATAAAACTAAAAGAAAACGATTGACATCGTTCATTCCACCATTAACTGCTAAAGTGAAAGCTGCGAAAAAACTTTGTCTAAAACCAAAAAATATCAAAGATATATTTTCAAACTAAATATGTCTTTCCTTCATAATCATTCTTGCGAGTGCGTTAAGTCAGAATTGGATTTGTTTGCACTACCGTCTACACAAACTAGCATTGAAAATGGATTGTGGATTCATTATAAACCAATTTCATCTCTTGGTGATGATGGACCTATCGAGTTTCAAGTTCCTGGGACCGGCGATGACTACATAGATTTGTCTCATACATTACTCCACATAAAGGCAAAAGTATTAAATCAAGATTCAACTAACTTGGTATCTACTACAATAGTAGCACCTGTAAATAATTGGCTGCATTCACTTTTTAGTCAACTTGATGTTTATTTAAACCAAAAACTTGTATCACCACCTAATAATACCTATGCATATCGAGCATACATGGAAACCCTTTTAAACTATGCCCCTGCTGCTAAACAATCTCATCTTACTTGTAGTCTTTGGTATGAGGATACAGCAGGAAAAATGGATTCTACAGATGGTAAAAACATAGGATTTGTTAAAAGACAGGAATTGATTAGTGAAAGTAAGGAAATAGAAATGATTGGTCATCTTCACGGTGACATTTTTAACCAAGATAAATTTTTAATTAATGGTGTTGAAATGAGTGTTAAATTGGTTCGATCAAGAGAGAGTTTTAATTTAATTGTTGGGTCAAACGATGTAAAGTTTAAAGTTTGCATTACGGACGCAACTCTTATTGTTCGACGAGCACGAATTAATCCAAGTGTATTACTCGCACATCAAAAAGTTTTAGCTTCTACCACTGCTAAATATCCTATTACTCGAGCTGAAGTAAAAGTTTTAACAATTCCTTCCGGTGTTCAAGGAAAAACTCTTGATAATATATTTTTAGGACAGGTACCGAAAAGATGTATAATTGGATTTGTGAACAATTCTGCATTTAATGGTTCCCTTACTAAAAATCCATTTAACTTTGAAAACTATGGTATTAATTCTTTCTGCTTATATATTGATGGTCAACAAATACCTTCAAAAGCTTTGCAACCATCTTTTAATAATAGCATATTTACATCAGCATATCATACTCTATTCTCGGGAACTGGTATTCACTTTCTTAATGAAGGAAATGGAATCTCTTGTGAACAGTATGGCAAAGGTTACTGTCTATTAGCATTTGACTTAACTCCTGATTTATCAGCTAACTCATCAACTCATTGGAATCTCATAAAGCATGGTAGTGTAAGAATAGAAGTACGATTTGAATCCTCATTAATACAAACAATTAACTGTATAGTTTATGCTGAGTTTGATAATATTATTGAGATAGATAAAAACAGAAATGTTACTGTAGACTATAGTAGTTAAGGTTATAATATGTGTTGTGTGTTAGATTTTATGTGTTATGTGTAATGCATTTTGTGTGTATGTAACTATGTGAAACGTTATAAAATTAAATAAAACAAATTGTATGCAATATATTTTTTTTTATTTCTTTATAAATCTTCTATTTAATCTAATACAAAACACTGTTCGAGTTGAAATTTTACATAAGCACACTGACTAAACCACTGAACATGCTGCTGCCAAGGATCATCATCATCTTCCCAATCTTTTAAACCACCACCACAATGGAAACACTTGGTCCCGTCTGCATGGCCAGTATAAAAGAAACCAGCTTCTGCAAGATCTTCAGGTTTCTGTCGCATAACTAGAGGCCAGTTTTCGAAACTAAGCAAACGGCTAGATTTTGAACTGAAGAATGGATATTCAGCTCTTGAGTACTGCATACTCTTCTCGTTTTCTTCTCCACTCAGTGTTGTAGTTTTGTTATTCAATGATGTGTTTTGTACACGTATGCCACACTCATCTCTTCCTTCCGCTCTTGTCTTCCTGTAATTGAAGTAAACAGAATCACATTCACTAATGATCAGCTAATGACTGTCATTGTTAAAAAAGTATTTTTTAACTTTTTCACTTTCTGCTATTGTCTTTGTTATATTGTATACGAGGGCGTTTGTGTTGTCGTAGATGCTATCCTTATTAGTCTTTACGTAATATTTAATTCTCGTGGAAGCATGTTTCCAATGATCAGTAGTTGGAATCTTGGATAGCTTCTTCATATCGTACATTTCAATTTTGATGAGATGCGTCGCTTGGTCTCCGTCGTCAGAATTAGTAGAAATGTATGATACACCATCTCTAGCGGCTCGTGCTACGGTTGATGATAACAGCTTCCTCTTTTTTATTTTTGATTCAGCTTCAAAAAAATGATCAATCGATTGCGATTTTCTTTTTCCACCATCGCATGTGTTATTATTAATGACGAGGTTATCACTCTCTTCTTGAGGGGAGAGTGGCGAGTAGTAATACTGTTTATAGGTATCTTCATCGAAGCTCAATGATTTCTGCAACAACACAGTTATCATGTTAATATCAATTTGTTAACACTTAATCATAAAAGTTAAAAAAGTTAAAGTTACAGCCTATTAAAGTCCACTGCTGAACATAGGCCTCCTCTCATTTCTGAGAGGGTTTTAGAGCAAGGAAATGTCCGCCGCGCTCCCTCAATGTGTGTTGGCGAACTTCACATGCCTTCGAAATTTTCTCAGACATGCAGGTTTCCTCACGATGTTTTCCTTCACCACCAAGCACATGGTAATAAGCACTTAAAATTGCGATTAACAATTTAATTGGTGCTGGCGGGGATCGAACCCGGGTCGCGTACTGTGAAATTTACAGCTAGCGCTAACCATCTGAGTTACCACGGCTTAATCATATACATACACAATATTTAAATAAAATAATACACACACATGAAAATAACAGAAAAAAAGTAATTTAGTCAATAGAATAAACACTTACATCCATAGCCTTTGGTGTATTGAAGTAACACAAATGTACTATTGATAGATCCACTGTAGTCAAACGACCGTACACTAACTCGATGACTGCGTCTGTTGGTCTTATATACCACCAGTACGTAAAAATTCTAATCTAAAGTATTTCCGTAATGAGTTGATAATTACTTTATGCGTCAACCAGTTTATCTCACATTTCCGTTGTCTATCTCAACATTTCTTCGTATTCTGTTTTGTTTGGTGATCAATGACTCAAGTATAGTGCCACCAACTTATCTGTTCAGGTGGACAAAATTGGAACTAAAGCCGCCATTTTGTAAATGACATTTCGCTGTCATCTATTATTTATTCTGAACTATCAGGTGAGTGTTTGTAAAAAGTGTAAATAAAATGCCTAAAGGTCTTAAAAGTGATGCGCGATAGATTATCCTAAAGGTTTTATCATTTATGAAAGAAGAGAAACCTGTATGAGTCCCAACTATACCATTTGAAAAGCTGTATGAACGCGTTGCTGCCGCGACAGGTTAGTATTGCCAGATATGGAAAATTAAAATCACCAAATAATGTACTTGTGAAACATAGTAAAAAAATTAACTCAATTTACTGCAATTCATCTAAAGTGCCTAGCTTTATAGTTTGTGTTGCTAATGTTCTAATGCCCCAATTAACTGAAGATTCATTTCATAAAATTACACCGATGCAGTGGAAAAACATTTGTAATCATGTAAGAAAAATTGAAAATGAATACAGACTAAGAGACGCGTATTTAAATGAACCCTTTATTATAGTGTCAGAGCGATAGTGAAAGCGATTCCGGAAGATGAATTATTGGAACCAGTAGCTAACGCGGGTACATTTTTCAAAACAGAAATTCCTGGAATTCGGCCGCTTGAACTCCGAGATCACGACCATAATTATTTTTATAAAATATAAATAGTATATATAGTAACACTAATTCTCACTAGTTTTAATATATTATCACGAAATTTGTTTTATTTTATATTATGTGTAATGAATATGTTGTTACCTATTTCCTCGGTGAATTTCTTAAATGGCAATAGTAAGCACTCCACTAGCGACGCTGTCAAGTGAATAGATAAGTTGGTGGCACTATACGATTTGTATAACACAAAAATGCAATTTAATATTTAGAAATCACTATAATTGACCATTCCTATGTTATTCATTGAGTAGATTGGTACTGTAATAATGTACTAATAGCAGTAATATCATGGATACACTAGATGTACAACAACATCTGAAAAAGATTCACCCCAGTCTAGAAAATAATGTTTATGCAGCTAATAGACTGCCTATGTATACCCACGTACCAACGTATATAATATGTAATTTGGATACAGATGATAAACCAGGGTCACATTGGGTAGCTTTATATATCGATACGAATGACGTCGGTCAATATTTTGATTCATATGGACGATCACCTGTACGATATCATCTAGAGTTTTTAAAAAGGAATTGTAAAAGATGGAACTGGAATGTTGATAGGATTCAGAATGAGTGGACTTCAGTTTGTGGCGAATATTGCTTAATGTATTTGCTATATAAGTTTCAAGGATGTTCAATACATAGTTTTACGAGTATATTTACAAGGAACACATTGTACAACGATATTTTAGTGGATGAGATGTTTCGCTCCTATTTTATAGATAATAAGTAATAAGATTTTGTATTTTATAAATAAAAATTGTAACAAAATTATGTAATGTGTTTTATTGATGATTCAGATTAGCGTTGTATAATTAGGAACAAAGAAGTACAATACAATAGCACTGATATAGTCGACGCACACGCTGCAATGAAGGTGATTAATGAACAATAGAACAATAGAAATAGGAACAATGGGACGCTAATGACGGTGGAGGCCCTTACCGGATATCAATTAGATATTAGCTAATTGATCTACACATCTCCGGAACCGTGCATTCTACACAAAAATGGACCGCGGATTCGTGATCAGAGCATGCCAAAACTTTTTTTTTTTTTAGGATCGGGTGTCGACGAACGTCGTTGAACCACGTCTGACTCAGGTGGTCTAGAAGTGGTACAACTACACTACTTATTATGCATGTTACTATGGCAACGAATCCTCAACATCCTCCGCGGTAAAAATAAACAATTAAAAAATAAAAATTAAACTAAACTACTTCTTTGCCTCTCCACGTGAAAAAATATGAATAGTTTATTTTTTTAATATTCTGACTAGAAATTCATTTCTTCTTGTCACCATTGTAGTTTCAATAATTCCTGTTTTGAAAACTGAATACACTATCGTGGTCTCGGTACCGGCCTTGGTATCTGTAATCGCACGGGGTGTGGTTTTTTATCGCTCCACGGGGAAAAATATAAACATTTTTTAAAATATTCTCACTTGAAATCATTTTCTTCTTGTCACCATTGTAGATTTAATAATTCCGATACTAAAGCAGAATAGGTACACTATGTTGTTCTTGGTACTGGTCTTGTTATCTGTCATCTCACAGGTGTGGTTTTATTTCGTTGCGCACTTGTACATATGTGTTTTTATCGACATCTACGCTTCATGCTTTGAGTAATTACTAATTACATACATTGTATGCAATGTAGTATGTATGTAGTATGCTTGTACTTACTGTGAGGCTTTGTGTTGACGTTTTTGTGAGAAGTTGTCGTTCTTCTCCGTTAGAAGTAATAGTGTTCTGTGGCGATGGGTGTATGTTATGTTTATCGTGATTGCGTGTTATAATAATTATAATTCTTACAAAACGTCGAGCATAGTTTTGTGTCGTCGCATTCGTTCGCGTTTAAGTTGGTCTGAGCACGATAAGTTTCACTGTTTTTACGACAAATTAGTACTGAAAAAGACATCTTCATTATTTTATGTTTTCGTGGATATATGTAGGTACGACTGAATAATGAAAGTCAAATTTGTAAAATTTTACTTAAAAAGCGTCTTTTAAATAGGATAATGACAATTTTGCTATAATAGCCGGTAGGCCCTTTATTATTTTTGGTCATTTAATTTATTGGTATACTATGTACCTATGAAATAAACTGAAAATCATTAAAATTTTTGCATATTGATAGATGACAATATTTTTGAAGTGGAAACTTCTTTAGAATCTTTGTGATTTGGACCTCGATGAAACCACAGAATAAAATAAATAATAGTTATAAGAAATGAAACTAAAAAGCGACACCAAAAAGAGACAAACATAATATACATCTTTAGAATTTAGCCTGGGATAAAATGAGATAGAATGGTATATAAAATTTGATTTATATTTTTAATTTTATTATTTTTATTTGCGTTTCAGCCACCGTCTATTTTATGTAGCACCTTAAGAGTCAATCAATTTTAGTTCGATAAAATGGCATTACCTACAAAATGAAGAAGATGGCGCTTTTGCGAAGCAATTTTAAATTTAATTAACTTTTAATATTAATATTGTATTTATTCGTTTATTTTAAAATTACTCAAAACAAAATATTATTTTGTTGTTTTTT